TTAAAAGGCTTATGGAACCTAGTAGAGCAAGGGGTTCAGAGAATACCAATACATCTTTCAATGCTCATCAACAAAGCTCCCTCATGCAACAGAGGGCAATGAACACAAAAGGCCACAAATGGCCAAAGTATAGAGAATAAGAGTCTGCAGAGTGATGGTCCTTGGACCAGACTCCTATATTAAAATCCACTCACCCAGAGCTCACGGGCCATTGTGCAATAGGAGGCAGAAAGACTGTAAGAGCCAGGTAGGAGATGCAAGACCATATGGAAATAGAGTCTTATAGGCACCTGGGACCCCGCTCATATGAAACTACAGCAATGGGGTCAGCTTGCACAGGACCCATGCAAACTCAAGCAGACAAAACCCAAGCACAGAACTGTGGAAATGGGCAGCAGGCTCTAATCTTAGCTGAAATATTGACAGTTGATTAATGCTGGGTGAGGAAGAGCTGATCTTCTTAAAAAGAGGGACTCTAGATAGACTGACTAGAGCTCAGTTAATGAACTTGCACCTAGGGATATCTGGGGGCACTAACTTGACTTGGTGGGCCTTAACACAAATAGCAGAATGTAGGAATTCCAGTTGAGGGGGGAGCTATGGGAGAGTACAAATAGTGAAAGAGATATAAAGCTGATTAAGATGTTTTCTTTGAAAGACACAGAAATTTAACTTAAAAATCACAAAAAAGGAAGAGCACAATCCATATACATATATGTGTAGTTCATATGGCTGGCAGGTGTAAAATTTTACAATTAGTAAAATAAAAACAATCAAGCAAATAAAAAAATCAACAGCATATGCTTATAAAGAACATTTTTTGGGAATGTTCCTAACATGAATGTTGGGAGGGCCTAGTTAAATCCAGTAGGGAAAATTCAACAGTGAACAAAGAAATGAGTGGAGGGGGCTGGTAGATATTTATATTAATCTGATTGTTCTTGGGCTGCCTGAGTTTGAAAGAACTGTGAAGGACGTGGTTACATCTGTCCGCGTTAGAGTGCCAAGGAGATTCCACTGCACACCTATGGATAACAGAGAAAGCTGTGGGGACCCGAGAGGTGAAAGGAGCTCCTGCCCAGGAAACTATTTGACATTTGTTGCCATCCAAGAAGCAAGAATTCCAGTACAGTTAACAACTGTTAAAGGCCTGAGTTTGAAAGAACTGTGAAGGACGTGGTTACATCTGTCCGCGTTAGAGTGCCAAGGAGATTCCACTGCACACCTATGGATAACAGAGAAAGCTGTGGGGACCTGAGAGGTGAAAGGAGCTCCTGCCCAGGAAACTATTTGACATTTGTTGCCATCCAAGAAGCAAGAATTCCAGTACAGTTAACAACTGCTGAAGGCCTCTCCCGATCAGCTATAATACTGCTACCTTTAGAAATCTCAGCAGAAACTCCAAGTACTGAGAAAAGGCAAGTCCTAATCCCATTGCCAACTCAGTGAAATCTGGTTTAATTTTATTGGATTTTGTTTTCATCTAAGCCATCTCTGGAGCCAACCTATGATCTCACACACGAAAAGAGAGAGGAGAGAAAGCCAAGTTCTTAGCAGTGTTCTGAGATGTAACTTGAGAGCCTCCAAATAGATAATCCTATGGCATCTCACTGCTACTCTCTTTAAGTGCATATACCCACACTTGTGCATGTCTTACATTATGTGACTCTCTTTAGACCATGTCCATACTCCCAAGTGTGCATTATTTTTTTTTTCCCAGAGCACCTCTGTTTTTCCTAACCCTCATGCTTATATGTATGTTAAAATATCTTTAATGAAATCTCCTAACCCTGATTCATAATACTGACAAGTCCTGAGAATTATTTTCACTGCCAAATCCATGAATCCTAGTTTGCACTGAGTCGTGGTCCCTAATTCCCTTGGGAAACTCCTCAGGCAGCTGAGGGTGAAAACAGGGAGCTGAGTCTCTGATCTGGCATCACATACATATGCAAATCTGTAAGATACTGCTTAACAATAAGCTTACCATATTTCAATTATATTTCTATAATTCTATCAGGATGTAATAGAAAAACCAAAATGTACTCTAAATAGAACTGAACAAACAAATGCAGGGCAGAAATCCTGGACTTTTACAAATTGAAATTTTATTTCAAAATACTTAAACGGAATCCATTACTTGAATTGTAAATACCAGACAATGACTTCTGTTTACAGGTCAGGAACTTGAAAATTGTAATCCTAGCCCTCACAATAAAAAGCTGTACAAATTGAAAAAAAAAACAAAATGAAACAAAACACTCTTCTTAATTCATAAAAGTAGTGACTCCATGTGGAGAAATGCTTCTAAAATGGTGTGTTGCCAAGCCAACACCTAGACTCACAGTTTAGCACACCAATTGCTTAATAGGGGAAGATGTCCACTGCTAGAGATGGAATCAAAACTGTTCTAATGAAAAGAACTACACATTTGAGAACACACTTTAGAGGTATTGTTGGAAATTAAAGACACCAGGGGACAGAAGGACATCAATAAGTGACACATTTAGGCAACAATCCCTATAGCATTGGAAACGACAACACATTGCAATGTATAGCCCCCAAATAGTTACATCTTTAAGGTAAAGGACTATTTGGCTCACTTAATATATGCAAACATGTTCGTCTAAAAAAAAAAAACCCAACACATTCTAGAAGGGAAAATACTTGAAAAGAAACTGCTGGAAACAGTAAGGCATGAACAGCTTGGATAGACACTTCAGGTATAACCAGGCATTTTGGAATTTGAATATTGGGAATTTAAAATAACTGGGCTCTTAATGGAAGAGTGGAAATTTGAGTGCTGAGGGATGGAACAATCAGACAGACAGATGGAACTATAAGAAAGAAGCAAAAGAATGGAAACATTTCAGTTATATTTTTAGAAACGATAGAGAAAATTGCCAAACAGAATTTTCACAAATTATTAATAACTGATCACCCTGGAGTGGTCTAATAAAATAAAAATTAATCACATTCTATTTCATAAATGTAAGGGAAATCTTCGTCACACATCCTAGGGAAGAAACTTTATGTACAGGAAAATTTGCATGCATAGAGTATAACACAAAATTTAAAACTGTTCTAAGCAACACAGTACTTAATAAATCATGCAAACAGGAAACCTCAATCGGCCTGTATCACACCACCAATTTTGTACTTAAATATTTACAAACCACTTCTTTGCCATGGTGCCTGAATTTATCCATTTTCCCTATGATAAAAAGAATTAACTTCACAGTTCTATAAGCTATTGCACTGAAAATTAAAATGTAGAATGGATTCACTATATTTCCACAATAGTAAGAATATAAGAAAATAATTAACTAATTTGTGGTCCTTAAGAATCTATATTGAATGTTCACTGAACCAAAATCAATAACAAATAAACAGGACTCCAAAAATGCATATTTGCCAACTGCAATCCAATGAGAACCGGACTCAACAGCATAAATCTATGCTACATTAAACAAAAATTAAGCTTGAACTATGTGATTTAGACTGAAAAATGAATGCACTTTAACAAAAGAAAGGACAGAATTGTGCCAACATCATAGTAGTTGTTCAGAAAGCATATGACAAATTGTCTCATTGAGTTTTGATTTTAAAACTTAGAAAAAATTAATTTACTTCATCTGTGGTGATGACGTATTGAAACCTTCCTCTTGATAGCAGAGAAATGATAAGAATGCCAATTCCAATCAGCTCAATTTAACACAGTACATTAATAATTAATAAGAAATTGCAAAAAACTCTAGCAAGGTCTTTGATTAAGGCACTTACTAAAAACATTGCCCTTGGAAAACAAAAAATTTAAAATGAAAACTTATCATTACTGATTGTTTTTACATTTTCTCATTCTAGATATGTGATAAAATTCATAATATAATTAAAATTTAATCCTATTGCAACAAATAATAAGGCAATGATTGTACTAATTGTCTGTATATTAACATCACCTAGGATTAAATTACAGGCAAGTTACTTAAAATCTTTTATTTATAAATTACATTATTTACACGTATATTAACAAATTACAGTATTATTTCTTCTTCGTAACATCATTATATATTTATGCCCTTCCTATGTTGTTTCTCTGCTTTTCTACATAAATTATTACTGGTTATATTCTAAAGTTAGTAAAATAAAAGATAACATTTTTTTTTTTTTTGAGACAGGGTCTCCCTGTAGCCCCAGCTGTCCCGGAACTCACTATGTAGACCAGGCTGGCCTTGAACTCACAGAGATCCCCCTGCCTCTGCCTCCCGAGTGCTGGGATTAAAGGCGTGCGCCACCACGCCCGACAAAGATAACATTTTTACCCAAAGATTCTTAGTGTTACAAGTAATTCTAAAAGTGATTTTTTAACATTTTATTAATTATGCATTTGTTATGGACACTGGCCTTTTAAAATAAAATACACAATTAAATATTTTTTAAGTAACTGTGATTCACACTGTCATGTTTATAAAGGCAGATATATACACTAAATTTATATACATACCATATTTGTATATTTATATACAAAAATGAAGTATAATGTGTTTAGTTTTGTACTCCCATTATGTCTCTAGTTTCATTAACAGTGTATAAAAGTTTTCAAGATATAAAATTTACATATCCTGCCTTATAATAGTGGGGTATATGTTACACAAAATATGTTTCTAACATTATATATACATTTGAGAAGCTCTTCAAAAAGATCAGCCGTATGTTGTCTGAGAGACAATTATTGTTCAGGGGATGGAGAGATGGCTCAATGGTTAAGAGCAGGGGCTGCTCTTGCAGAGGACCAGGGATTGGTTTCCAGCACACACAACGAGGGCAACAATCATCTACAACTACGTTTACAGGAGATCTGTCAACCTCTTCTGACCTCCATGGACTTTGCAAGTCATGGGCCCACCTACCTCCATGTAGGCAATACACTTAAATGCACAAAATAAAAATATTAGGTAAAATGATTGACAAAAAATTTCAAGAATATAAAAATCAATTACCAATCCAGACATGGCAGCACCTGTCCTTATGCCCAGCAATCCCGAAGCAGATGCAGGAGGATCTTTGGAAGATCTAGGGCAGCCTGGTCTACACCGCAAGCTCCAAGCTAGCTGGAACTACAGAGAGACCGTGTCTCATAAAGAACAACAACAACAAAAACCCCAAAACCCCTATCCACACAAAAGAAAACAAACAAACAAACAAAAAATTCAAACTACCGAAAAGAAAACGGAATTAATTTCTTATGTACAGGACCATTTTGTACTCCTTTCTTAATAGTCTATTAAAATAAAACAGTAACTTGTTTTTGATTTACAAATATTTTAATCGCCAAATATATTAATAATTCCTAACATTTTGCCTTTAAAATGTATATCCTTGTCTCCTTAAAATTATCCTTTTTATTAGTAGAT